ATTAATAAATATCAGTTGACACTGAACATGATATGGAATTAATGAAGACCAAGTTCAAGTGAAATATCTTCTCAATGTCTTTATGTCCATCTTTATGTTTCTCATAGCCGATGATGAGGTGGTAGGATGTGACAGCTTCTGAAACACACAGTTGAGTTTAGAGTTATAATGTGTGCAGTTATTTATGTAAAACAATTAGAAAAAATGGACAGTATGTGAGCCCTTTATAATGTTAAAAGAAAAGGAGATCTAAGGTCAAGGGATAACTTTAATGTTATTTATGACTGGGTATTTATGCATAAAGTAAAAAAAAAAATAATTGAATCATGGATCATTATTTCAACATTTCTGTTAGGCCTACTTTTGTCATTATGGTGTATTGTTTGTAGAATTGAGGAAAATAATTTAATCCATTTTGGAATAAGGCTGTAACATGCTGTGAAAACTTTCCGGATGCACTGTATGAAGTGCTCCAGTGGTTAAGAAAATGTTTTTCCTGTGTCGTCTTGAAACATTGTGCCAATGTTTTGAGAATATTATATTGTCACCTCAACAACATCCTCAAAATGTTGCAGGTCAAATGTTCTAGCTTTGTTAATATTTCACATTACAAGAACATTTTATAAAAACATTACACAATCTCAAGTCTCAGTGATGTTCTTATAATGTTCTCCTAATGTGACTGAGAGAATGTTCTTCCTTTGTTATCTTGAAACATTATGCCAATGTTTTATTGAAAACAATATATAATCTGTTACCTCAACAACATCCTCAAAATGTTGCAGGTCAAATGTTCTAGCTTTGTTAATATTTCACATTACAATAAAAAAAAAACATTACACCATCTCAGGCCTCAGTGATGTTCCTATAACGTTCTCCTAATGTGACTGAGAGAATGTTCTTCCTTTGTTATCTTGAAACATTATGCCAATGTTTTATTGAAAACAATATATAATCTGTTACCTCAACAACATCCTCAAAATGTTGCAGGTCAAATGTTCTAGCTTTGTTAATATTTCACATTACAATAAAAAAAAAACATTACACCATCTCAGGCCTCAGTGATGTTCCTATAACGTTCTCCTAATGTGACTGAGAGATTGTTCTTCCTTTGTTATCTTGAAACATTGTGCCCGCGTTTTATTGAAAACATTATATAATCTGTTACCTCAACAACATCCTCAAAACATCCTCAAAATGTTGCAGGTAAAATGTTCTAGCTTTGTTTACACTTAACGTTTTAGGAACATTATCTGAAATGAAAAACATTCTTAAAACATTTTTTGAACATTACATTCAAATGTTTTCTCTAAAACATCAACCAAACCTGTACGGAATGTTAGCCAAAGTTATGAGAACATTCCCTGCTAGCTGGGTGTTTACATCCACATGACATTTAAGTGAGGGGGAGAAGAGCGAGAGATTGCTCATTTCTCTGCAGTAAGATAAATAACACCATAATAATGCATATGCATTACATAACTCACAACTGCTGACACTGATAGAAAAGGACCCATATGCTTCAAATCTGCATTACAAGACTGAAACTAGTCGAAATGGTCGGATATTGCGAAATAAAAACATAAAATGACAACGGCGATTCAGCACCGCATTAAAACGACAGATCTCACGCCAGAATATTGCAATAAAATAACCGTGCTAACGCTGATTCTGATATCTGATTCCGCAATAAATTCAGCTGGGAATGTCTTTAATGTGTTTTATTTGAACGGTCTAATGCACGCGCTGACCCAGCAGACAGCGCCAACCGTTTTTAACGGCCACTGCTGTAACTATAGCAACATTATCTGTCAATCAGCATCGCACGTTACACCTCAGCAGTTGCTCCGCTGCCGTACGCGAAATAACGCTACTAGTCAGGGATATTTACGTTCACTATTCTGACCGGCCGGCTTAAACGGCGAACCCAGAAAAGGTAAGTGTTTACCTGAGGCGAAGAAAAGGCGCTGTCCTTTATCCCCTTGGTTTTCCAGTACAATAATACGTTTTTTGTCGACGCTGAGCTCTTTCGTAGGCGAGCGTCACAGCTCTTCTCTGATGATGCGCCCTAATGTTCACATCAGATTCCCTTTCTGTTGTGGGTGATGTGGTTGTAAAAGATCTGGAAACTGGTCGTAGGTTCAACAACACCCAGCATCACCATAATGCCGATGAGCCCTTGATCAAGACATTTAACCCTACTTCAGAAGGGATCGTTATAGGGCTACTCTCACAAAACCTTGACCACATATATTGAAAGAAAATAGGAAATTATATTTTGCATAATGAAAATTAAGCCTTTATTCATTAAGAAGACATTCGTGTTTGCATTATGGAATTAGTGTCAGTTAAAGGAATAGCGCGCATCACTTGCTCTATGGATCCTCTGCAGTGAATGGGTGCCGTCAGAAAAAAAGTCAAAACATTACAGTAATCCAAAAGTATTGTAAGTAATCCACAAGCTGCTTGTTTGTAAACAAATCCATAATAAAGTTTTTTTTTTTTTTTCAAGTCATCTTGTCTGAATCAGGAGAGAAATATGCACAGATCAAGCACTGTCAAGCACAAGCCAAAACAGTTCTAAATAAATATGTCAGATTATATATTTTTTTTTTGCTGGGGGAAAGTGTTATGGATTACTCATATTTTGGCCAGAAGGTTAAACATAATGGATTTTTTTCTAATGAAAACACAGATTTTCAGTTTAACAACACGTTAACGATGGACTGGATCACTGGATTTTTATCAGCTGTTTGAACTCTCAGTCTGATGGCACCCATTCACTGTTCACAAACACATCTACATCTTGGAAGGGCCAAAAATGTAAAGCTTAAATGGTACTGATATGAATCAAACAGTTTAATTCAATTCTGAAGAGACACACTTTACGTATATGATCAAGGGATTCAATTTAATCTTTTATTTGTATATAAACATTACAATGCACATCCATACAGCTCAGGTTTTATGGGTTTATATTAACATGGCGGTGAGTAAATGATGACAGAATTCAAATTTTAGGGTAAACTATAAGGAATATTCTGCATTCAGCACAAGTTAAGCTTTTTTAATTATGTTAATTACCACAAAATAATTTTAGTGTTGGCTATACTTGTGAAACAATGAGTGATCTTTTGGCCAAACTGGCCTCATCCGCTTATGTTGTGTCTCACTGTAACCAAGAATTTTATTTTAATTTTTTTAATTAAAAAGATGGACAAATGAATGTTGTGTTACGTTAGCCACTGTCTCAGCTGAAGACCGAAACAATCACTCTGCAGATTAGCTGAACAATAACACAATAATTGCAGCAGAGCATCCTCTACCAGAAATATAAATTAAGCACCATCTCTGTTTCTACACGCCTGCTTCATCTAGACAGAAAATGTTCTGCTAGTATACCCACCATTTCTAAATACTTCAGGTATTACATTTCATTTTTAGGCTTTACTTTTTTTTTTTTTTATCCAATGTAAAGCTTTCAATAAAAATGTAACAATAAATTCTAAAACAAAATCAAAAAGTAAAGCATTACTCTAATAATCAAAATGTTCTTGGTTAGAATTGTTGTTTCTTAATATATTTTTTAAACACTTCATATAGATGCAGAATGCAATATAGACAGTATAATGATTACAATTCTTGCTTAATGTAGGCTAAACTTCAGAATTTATTACAAAAACAAATTTCTGATTTGATTTTTTAAAAATTATATTACATTTATTTTTAAATTATTTTTATCATTTTAAATTTATCATTTTGATTATAATTAAAATCAATTGTATAAATATTTATATTAAATATAATTTCCAACTAATCGTTTAACTACAACTATTTTAACATATGTTGAGGTTACTCTTTTATATAACAGCAAAGAACATTACAGTATTACAGGGTCATGCCAGCACTTTTATCTCTGTAGACCTGTAGCTCTATTAATACTTGTGTATTAATCCTATTAAATGTGCAGTTGCCTTTTATTGTTGCCATATTAGTGACTTTAAAAATCAATAATCCACAGAATATATATAAAAATATAATTTCTTTATTGGAAAATAAAAGTGCATCAGAAAAGAACTTGCTGGTATCATTGCCAGGTGATTACAATGAACACAGAGTAATACAGTACACATACAAAACTACATTTAAGAGTTACATAAAAACGACAGTTACATAAATTAGTACAATCTGTACACGGTCTTCTTACAGTATTTACACAAGGTGTATTCGTCATTGTTCGGTTCCTTTCCAAGGATTAATTTCCTATTAAATAAACAGTAAACAACATAGGCAGTATCTCATTATCTGAGCCTCATTTGTTGGAGTGTTTTCTTCATTAGTGATTTTCATACTTGACAGATTGGGTTCAATTAGATACAAAGATTAAAAGTTATTAAGGTCAGTTGTTAAATATCATTCCTTGTTGTAAGGTAAAAAATAATCGTAAATAATGATAACCCAATTGACAAATCAAATGAAAAAAAATACATATCAAGTGTATGATTACATTATTGTCATTTCAGTCTATTCCTGTATTGAGGAAAACGTTCTTGAAATTAACTCATTATATGAATGATTTAATTAATTACTTCATATCCACAATGTCTTAAAGGAATAGTTTACTCAAAAATAACTAAAACAATACATTTAAAAAATCATTAAAATATGTAATTGTTTAACCCCACACTATTCCAAACCCATGACATTTTGTTCCAGAACAAAAGGAGAAGTTTTTTAAAGAAACCTCATGCAGCTTTTTCAACAGAATGACATTGTATAGTGACCAAATTGTTATTGATTTAAATGTCAGTCTGTTCCTTATGCCAAATTATATCATGGCTTCAGAATTTGGAAAATAGTCAAACACTTATATGGACTATATTTCGGTTTTGGTTTTGTGGTGAGCTTTACAGATATGGTGACTATGAATTTTCATCGTATGGAAAAGAGCTGCATCAAGATTCTTCAAAAACTATTTTTGTATTCTGAAAAAATAACAGTTTATAGGTTTGAAACAACATGAGGTTGAGTAAATGATGACAGAAATGTCATTTTTGAGTGAACTATCTTTCTAACACAAAGTTCTCAGTGCTTTAGGTCTGCTGTAGCAGGACCAGTCAAACAGCCAGATGACTTCAGAGCTTCACAAAATACAAAACAAGAGAAGAAAAGTTTGCGGGGCCATTATCGATGCCCACTTCATGTCAAACATTCTCGTTTTTGTCTGCTTACGAGTCGTGAGAATTTCAGGGTTCAGTAAAACACGGAGCTGCCTCATATGCACATTTGCGTGATCGTCAGTGTGTGTGTGTTACACCGGCCAGCTCCTCACATGTCATTATCATAGTCCCCGATCATTCTCCGTGAGTTTGAGGCGAGGAAGATATCGTTCTCACGGGGGCAATCGTGGTGACAGGAGCAGGTCTTAATGAACATCATCTTCTTCCTGAAGGAGTCTCCCTCGGGACAGCGGAACTCCACCTCGGCCGTGATGGTGGCGTGAGGTGTGCAGCAGCGGCCGTCTGTACACACCCCGCAGAACTTCGGCTTATACAGCCTGGCGCTCTGGCATCCGGACAGTTCGAAACGCATCCCACGCTGGCTCTTTGGGGTCCGCACACACTTCTTCCCTCTCTGTAATAAAGAGGAGGAGGTGGGCTATTAATATTTGAGATGGTTTGTGATGGGTTTACTGAAAAAAGGCCAAAAGCACACTCAGCACCACTTTCAACTAAATGGAAAACATTTTACGCGTTTTGGATGTTTATTTATTTTCAGAACGCTGACTGTTTCTATAGCAACTGGGACTTCTAACGCAGCTGCAGTGATGCAATCACTTTACCGATTAGCTCTATTTTACTCAGAAGGTGGGGCTTCGTTCGATAGAGCGGCCATATTGAGCATTGCATTTTTTCCCATTCAAAACTATATGAGTGACACGTCTTGGGTATTCTGTAGTCTTTGGTTTTTATTCTGGTGGTAACAGAACTCCGTATTCAAGGAAGCGATAGGATGAAGGCCCAGTTATATGTCATTTTCTACTCCTGGAGGGCCAACATCCCAAAGAGTTTAGCTTCAACCAGCTCTAATACACTTGCCTGGAAGGACGTTTCTAGTGAGTCTGAAGACCTTGATTAGCTGGTTCAGGTGTGTTTAATTAGGGTTGGTGTTAAACTGCAGGACAGTGGCCCTCCAGAAACAGGTAGGGAAAACCCTCTTTCTTTTCAAGCACTCAAATCACTTGCAGATATGCTGTTGTCTGCGCAGGCTGCATACAGAGGGTGTGCTAGGACAGTAGTTCTCAACCCTGGTCATGGAGGCACCCCAACACTGCACATTTTGCATGTCTCCTTTCTCTGACACCCCAATTTCAGGTCTTGGAGCAGTGAAAGGCAAACTTGGCACTTCCAGGCCACCTTCCTGCAGAGACTTGATCCAACCCTGATAAAACTCACCTGCCTGTAGCCTTCTAGTAGTCTTGAAGACAATGATTAGCTGGTTCAGGTGTGTTTGATTATTGTTGGAGCTAAACACTCCCTGCGTTCCATTCGGAAGGGCTCATTCCTATGCCCTAATCCCTTCAAAGGGTTTACCCTTCGGAGTGAGAGCTTCGAAGGGTTGAAGGGTGTAGGGGACCAAACAACTGTTTCTTGAAGTGCCCTTCTGCCCCATCATCACGTGTCCACACGGAGGCGCCGTCATCATGCAAAGAATCTGTGCAAAGGATCATGGGAGCCCGAAGTGTCCATCAGTTGTACCCTTCGAAATCCTTAATTCTGAAGGGTCACTACTTTGGTTCTGATGACCTGAATCAGGTGTGTTTGATTAAGGAGACATGCAAAACGTGCAATGTTGGGGTGCCTCCAGGACCAGGGTTGGGAACCACTGTGCTAGGATATCAGTTGACTGTGCTGATGACAAAAATGTACATCACGCAACTGTGAGTCGGTATGAAACATGGACATGGGAGGTAAAAAGAAGAAGATGTATTAATTAGTTCTCTTGTTTTAGGTAAACTGTGGCCATGTTGAACTAATTTATTCACATTATTTACTAATTTGTTCCCATGTGACACAATTCAACTCAATTAAAAAGAGTAAACAAAGTAGTGCAACGTGGCCATGATTCACCTAAAACAAGGGAACAAATGAATACATCATGGAAATAAATTATTAATCCATGACCACGATTTTCATTTTTTTTCTCATGCCATCTTCAGGGCTCTGTAGTTTCTGGCCTTAAGGCCAGGGTATACTTAATTTTCCATGTTCCATCTAACATATGCTTGAGTGTGCTAACCTTTTTACAAGCATACTCTATTGATTGTGAATGTGGACTGACGCATTGGGTGTACGCACACTACACAGAGGACCTTTTGTTTTTGAGTGCTCGAATTATCAGTGCTCAAGATGAAATTTACATCACACAGTCTGTCCGCGAGCCAGAGCAGAACAAGGCCAGTGTATGCTTGATTTAACTTAGTGCTCTCTTACCTTGATGTCCTTTTCCAGCTCTGCATTGCAGGGGCGGATCATGCAAATGCGAGTCTGCCGCTCCAGCTGGCATTGCTCATTGTCGTTGGTTACACGAGAGGACACCCCCATGCCACAGGTTGCAGAGCATTCGCTCCAGTCAGTGGTCTGAACGATGCAGTTGTCCCTTGCGCTCTCAGGCTGGACATCCTGACCGGATAGTTCTCTATATGCTGAAAGAAGAGGAAGTGCATGTTAAATTCTTGCACTGATGATCACAACTAGGAAAGCATATTATTGCCATGCAGTGCGGCTAGTAAAACGAGTTTAGTAAAATTTGGAAATTCACAGTGTACGGGACCATATTTCAGCATATGTGACCCTGGACCACAAAACCAGTCATAAGTAGAGCAGGTATATTTGTAGCAAAAGCCAACAATACATTGTATGGGTCAAAATTATAACTTTTTCTTTTATGCCAAAAATCATTAAGATATAATAAAGATCATGTTCCATGAAGATATTTTGTAAATTTCCTACCGTAAATATATCAAAAACATAACTTTTGATTAGTGATATGCATTGCTAAGAACTTCATTTGGACAACTTTAAATGTGATTTTCTCAATATTTTGATTTTTTGCACCCTCAGATTCCAGATTTTCAAATAGTTGTATCTCAGCCAAATATTGTCCAATAATGTCAAACGAACCATACATCAACGGAAAGCTTATTTATTCAGCTTTCAGATGATGCATGAATCTCAATTTCAAAAAATGACCCTTCTGACTGGTTTTGTGGTTCAGGGACACATATTTCATTTATAGGTGGTCCCCTTCTCCCTTAGGCCCAACGAGTGCACTTTTAAGAGATTGGGAGATTTGAAAAAGGCCAGCTGTTTCAACTTAATGGAGCAAAATGAAAGAAAAGTTGACTTGCCGATTGACCTACCAGCCATTGCTGACTGGAAGGTGTCTTCCTGTGGGATCTGGTCGCACACCCACTCCTCGCAGCATTTTCCAGGGATCTGGACGCGTCTTGGGTAGGGACAGTCAGGAGAGGGCAGCCGTATGTTGCTGGCACAGGTCGGCACGCAGCCAATCTCCCCATTCATGCAGACACAGTGATGTTTGCAGCTGGGCTGAAACGTCTCACCACTGCGGTAAATCACACCGCCCAGGTCACACGTCTGACCCTCTTGAGCTGCAACACATGCAACAGCCATTAGACAACGTCCTAATACTAAAAGGCTCCTACTTGTGGACAAAAAGTGTAGTGCAATACATGCAAAACATTTGAATTCTCGACTCTTTACATAACACTCAATTACTTTCCAAAACGCAACATTACACTCACCCATGCAGATGCCTGTCTCAGTGTCACTCAGCACACCATAGTCACAATACAGGTCCTTATGATGGTCACATGGTTCGAGGAAAGAGCAGGGCTCTCCTGCCTGTCGGGCACATACTTTACAGCAGCTACAGCCATCCAGCACTAGACTGGTGCCGACAGGACACAAAGGGCTCTCAGCCGGGCAGTCACAGGGCTGAAAGCAGTCCTGACACAGCGCCTGCATAGAACATGGCACAATGTTAGGGTTGCAACAGAAGCTTTCTCTCATAAATCTGTGGTAATGATAATTTTATTAACTCACAAAGATTGTGAGATTCTGAAATGTCTGGGACAAATTAACTGCTATGATCGGACAGTTCGTGAGCAATACTCTTTATGGCCACAAGGGGGAGATAATATGCATTACAGATGTAGATTTGTAATGTGGAAAGTGATGTTTTGGAATTACACTAGTGTTACACATAAAGCATGTTTAAAATAATGATAAGTGTAGAAAAATATGAAAGATTCAAAAAAAGTTTGCCTGCTACACTGAAAACAATTGGTGTAGAATTAGTTTTCTCGCAGAAATTGTTAGTACATTTCACAAACAATTAGTATCAGTGAATTAGGCTACATGATAATGTGATGTTGAAAAACTTCAATAGTATTTTCTTGTAAAACGTACTCCAGTGATCTTTGTTTTATTTCTGTCTTCGGCAAATCGTTTTTTACAGTGTACACTGAAAATAAAAAAGTTACAAATAATGTTACTTTTACATTATATATAAATATTAGGTTTATATATTAAAAATATGTAGAATATATTCATTGAAATGGTAGACTAGAGACTTAGCAGTCAAAGCAGATTGGATTGAGATCACTGTTCTCAGCATCACAAAATCACATGCAAACACAAACCAGTACAGTGACTTACATAATATTCACATTAAATGTTATCATGGCAAAGCTTTATTAGAATGCACTTAATTAAAGCTAATTAGAACAATTACCCAAACTTACACTTATGACTAACCAACTCACTCTGCAAACAGTAGCACACTAATTCTTTAATTACTATGTATGTTGTCATTTCAAATGGTAGTAAAATAATTCATCATTCATTTACATAATCAAATCAGCTAATTTATGTCATTTCTGCACAAGAGAGCTTCATTTATTTTAAATATATACAGTATCATTGCTGTGTTCACTCACCGTATGTATAAGCAAGCAGAGAACGATGCATGATCTGGTGAATACTGTTCCAGCCATTTCCTCCAAGAGTTCCCTGCAGAAGTGCACACTCCACTGGTTTGTTTTGGTTCTCTGGTGTGTGTGATCACTGTCAGACTGCAGGATTGTAGTGGAGTGGAGAGCAGAGAGCCCCTCTTTAAATACTACCAGAATGGGGTGTAGCCCACCGGAGTCAAGCCATGCCACGCGACCCAGAGGGGTGAAAATATTTCAATTCCAGATGGTTTTCCATAATGTTTGAAAACGCAAGAGATGCTGTCGACCAGCCTTTCAATTAATCATACCACAAATTCCAGAGCGTGCACATGGGGAAAAGTCTGGATTCTGCACATGGTTTGACTGCTGTTTATCTGAATATTAATGTGGGCCAGTCTATGGATGGTTCAGGATGCTTTGGCAGATCATAGATTAGAATGTTTATCAGATACTGTTGGAATGCAACAATGTTTAGACGTCATACAAGTGATGTGTGAAACTATGCATGCACGCTTCATGTTTGGACTGGCATTGCATTTAACAGCAAAAACAAAACTGATATACAAAGGCTGTTTTGTTACAAAATTATTTCCCACCACATGATGTCATGCTAGACAGGCCTGCAGGGCAGAGGATATGACACGGCCCGCAATTGAATGTTTGCTGAGACCAAATTACAAAGAGGACAGTGTGAAGTTGTGTTTAGTGGAAATCCAAAACAAGCTCATGAAATCCGTCTGTGTCAGGTGCAGAGAAAGCAATGTGGTAGAATGACAACCTACCATTTTTTTTCCCCCTCCTTGCAGCTATTTCCTGAAGCATGTCACTCTCCCGAGGTTTCGGATGTGAGACAAAATGTACTCAATAACAGTAAGCGGTTCAAGCTTGACTTTTACATTTCTGAAGAAAACATGAGTGGTGCTGCCACATTACTGTAGGTAGTTGTCAAGGCATTGCTATTTAGTTGCTAAAATCAATCTATCTATCTATTGTCCATACAATGAAAGTAGGACAGAATTGACTGTCATTATATGGGCAAAAAAACACTGGGGCATTTTTTAAAAACAGTTGGAACATTCTTTAAATTATGAAGTAAATGATGACAGGATTAACATTTTTGGATGCACTAATCCTAGATGTATTAAAGTTTATTGGCACATTCAGTAGTTATTTAGCTAGCATTAGCATTGCCGTTCTTTGTGTACTTTAAGTACCGATACCACAATGGTGGATCACCATAATCCTTTTTTTATGTAAATTACATTGATAGTAAAGTTTTCACAATAACGATGTATTAAAATGGAAACGTTTCCCTTTTGTGTTTTTGAAAAGTTTTGCATACAATTTTGAAGACAAATGATCCCATTTCTCACTGATTCACGAAAACAACTAAAATGCTGTATCATTCATGCTGGGCCAGTAGTTGGCGATGTCACTTTGTAAAGAAACACTATGCATGCTCATGACATCACCATTTTCGCAAATTTGCATTTTTGTAGTTTACAAAGATAAACTTGCACCTTGAAACCCCGTCTCAAAAATGTTTTCAGGCTCCCAAATCACTGTTATTGTGTAAATGAATGGATGGCAAAAATTCATAATGAGTGCTAGGTTTCTCACCGACGTTTAGTGAAACACCGCGGATCGCATCATATCAACATGGTGAAGTACACTGAGGAAGTGACAATTTTTATATTATTTTAACTATTATGAGTGAAGTCCCATGTGAATCTTCACAAAACACTATTTATTTATTTATTACTGTCTACGACTTTTTAAATGAGCACCAAACTACTGAATGCACCTCTAATACTTAGAATTGTTCAAATATCAAGCTAGTTAAACAAATTTACCACAAAACAACCTCAGAACATGTCTCTCTGTTTGACAGTGTGTTAAAGCTTTTAAACAATGTTTGCTTTGCAGGCTCCTATAATAAGTGCTGCACGTGCGGCCCACTGGATATCTGCTGCAAACAGAGCTTTATCGTTCTGTGGCATGCTACGAGCTCTCTTGTTTTCATGGGAATTTTATTTCTCAGGGTTGGGGAACTTGAGGTGCAGGAATGTAACAGCAGGCAGTGCGCCGTGGTCTCTCTCCTCTCCTCCAGAGTGGCGGGTTGGGGATTGTGCTTTGGCAACGGGATATGCCGGTATGGCCATGAAACATGTACATAAGTTCAAAACAGAGCAGTAACTAAGGAGGGCCGTAAATATCCTCAAGCTGTGAGACTGTGGAGTTGCCATGACTCTGTTGCTGCGGGACATGCTCCTAACTGGACTCGCTCTCTCAGTCTGTCACGTCTGCATCTGGTGTGTTCAGTCTTCTGCCAGCTTCAGACTCTATACTTTAAGTGTCACCAAAATGTTGAGTGAGGATCTGTTGCTATGAGCCCAGTGATTATGAAACCCCTCCATAGACTGATGAGTGATATTTTATATTAGATCAGCAAACTTTAAGAGCTATATATACACATATACACACACACACACATTATATAAAATTAAGATAAGCCTGTGCCATATGTCAAATCCAACCCGATCTCATGAAAGTGCGTATAAATAGTATGCCAAATAAAAACGAAAACTCGTGGTGTTGATACGCAAAAATGGACTTTGTTGTGTATATGCTACACGATGGGTAGGTTTAGGGTTGTGGGGTAGATGCGTATCATATGTACGCGAAAACTGCTTATCATATGCACGCCAACAAATTTCGTATCATATGCATGTGAAAACTGCGTATTATATGCACGGCAAACACATGTGTATCATATGCACGCCAAAGTCCATTTTTGCGTATCAATACCACGAGTTTTTGTTTTTATTTGGCTTACTATTTATACGCATTTTCATGAGACCGGGCTCGTCAAATCTTACAATCTTATTCTATTCTTCATGGTGACAGTGTTTATATGGACCCTAATAATCCATTTGTAATCGGACTAGTAGCCCAGTCTGAATAAAGAAATCACATCCCAGGTAACAAATTTAGGTTGTAAAAACGTTGTGGGAATACTGTTTTGAAATGTTTCAAAAATGTTGAAATTTCCATTTTTTTAGTCGTGATTAGAATGTTATTAAAATACTCAGTACATATCAAATGATCTGTAATAACAGACAAAGCAATAGTGATCACATAATCAAAACAGTTACTCACACTTATGTGCTACTGTCGGATTCAAAATAGTCGGCCCAGCATCATCTTTTAGTTTTAATCTTTCGGAAAATCCTACATCGAATTGTGCCTTGTTTGTAAACAAATCCGTGATAAAATTAAGTAAATAAAGGAACAAGTTCTTACTGACGCGGTCTGGATCTTCATTAAAAATACAGTTCATTCACTCTTCCCTAACATTGGGATCAGAAGGAACGATCTGTAAGAAGAGACAAAGCAATAGTGATCACGTAATAAAAACAGTTACTCACACTTGTGTGGTGCCACATCAGATCCGATATAGTCAGCACAACATCGTCTTTTTGGTTTCAATCTTTCTGAAAATACCTCCGCCGAATTGTGCCTTGTTTAAATGAAGTGAAGAAAAGACAGATTTCTTACTGACGCGGTCTGGATCTTCATTAAAAATAATTTAATTCACTTTTTCCTAACATTGGGATCAGAAGGAAGGCAATGCAAAGACTGTTTTTCCACAACTTGGCACTGCACAGCCTCGTGTTGTCTTCTGAGCCATTTTTATTGTTTGGTTTCTGCGTAGATCTGCATTTGCCTCTTGTTATTACACTACAGGTGCAAATCGGTGGGCGGGGCTAAACAGGCATTGATGTAGAATCAGGTGTTGATCTTCTGCGGAGGCGTGTTTAGCCGCACTATTACATCATAGAGTGGCACATTCCACAAGCTGTCGTTTGGCAGATTGGCTTCAATTTAAGCTCTTTTTAGACTAACGTGAAAGTTTTGAGTTTCGAAACTTACAGGATGTTTTTATAGTTCAATGACCACATTAGATATGTCAAAAGATCAGGGGAATTTTCATTCTGCTAACTTTATTTTCACCCAAATATAATGGTATTTGAATGTTAATTTTTAACATTGTAAGAATGTTAAAATGTCTAGTTTCTCATTGAAATGTTAAAAGTTTATTTTGAATATTGTAAGAATGTTAAAATGTCTAGTTTCTCATTGTGATTTTAAAAGTTTATTTTTAATATTGTAATATGTTAAAATGTCTAGTTTCTCATTGTGATCATATGGACATTCCGACAATGCTGATCTCAGAACGTTTTCTCAACATTATGAAAATGCATATCAAATATTAATGACGTTATAAAAATATTCCATAAACATTACTTTTAGAAAACTGTGTCCGAACATTTATATAACTGTTAACAACATTAACTTGGATGTAACCACGTCAGTCGGAATACATTTCGAAATTTTATTCGGATTGTAGGGGTGGTTTAAGCGTTTTCTAATCTGTTCAACAGGAAATGTAAAAACTTTATCACATTGACAACTGAAACTGGTCAGTGGTGCAGTTCACATGTGCAATGACGTAGACTTGGTGTAATGGCGTACAGTATGACACATGGAATGAGATGTTCTGGTTGAATCATAATTGTCATAAATGACTGTCATGGCATTCTTCCACTAATCGTCTGTGAAATGGTGCAGCATAAATGTCATCCCACCAATCCTTGCTTCGAACTCTCATCCACAGATGCCTTTTTTGCGTGCGGAAAGCAGAATTTTTACTGTTTGATAAATATAAGAAGCAAGGCACAAAGCTTCACGTGCTCGACATCTCCAGATTAGAACCCTTGAATACATGAATATATAAAGTCTGCTTTATAAAACAAAGAAAAGAAGCAGGATGATGCTAGCATGCATGTCTTAAACCAGCAGCATGTCAAAAAATAAATCTGATTGGAAACTTGTGACACATAAATGCACACATCAACCCGATGACTTTGTTTAGCGTTCATGTAAACACTATGTTCGGATTCATCAATCGTAATGATTTCATTGTGACAGAAACAATAGGTGTCCATGTAAATGTAGCTAGTTATCTTAGCAGGCTAGGCTTTATTAGATTAGTGTGTTTATCTGGAAGATGTGTGGAGTTCTGCCATTGATTCTTGGGACATTACAAATAGAGAGA